AGAGAAGAGAAGAGAAGAGAAGAGAAGAGAAGAGAAGAGAAGAGGAGGAAGGAGAGAGGAGAGAGGAGGGAGAGAAAGAGAGAAAGGGAGGGAGAGATCCAGGAGCTAAAAAGTAACCGTCAAAGGCCCAGCCACCTGTTTGTGCATGGCCTTCCTCCTAAAGGACTCACAGCTCCTCAGGCACAGAGCCATCTCCTGAGGAAAGAATTGAAACAAGAGGAGGACACTTCAAATTCAAATTTGTGCAAAACCCGCAGCTCTCATCTTAAAGGGAATAGGAAATAGTTTCTTCTGGAGCCATTTTGCATGAGCAAGCCCAGGAACACAGATTTAGGGTCTCCCGAATTCCTGTCCCAACATGGAAGCAGTTTCATGGTTGTACAGAAGAAAGCAAGCCATAAATCAAGGTAAGTTTAAAATACACTGCTGGGTACATCAGAGAGGTGGTTACATCAAGATGGGAGAGGTTTTTCTACAGGCCTAAAATTCGATCTGATGACGTTCTTAGCTTTTGGGTTGGTGGAAGCTAAGTCAACAGATTCCAAAAGATTTTTTTAAAAAATCTATTAGTCACAGGATGTTAGTTTGGACACAGAAGTGGTCAAGGGACAGCTGTTCTGGAAGGTTTAGCATCCCAAATAAGGTATTCAGTCTCTGGACCTGCAACATTCCAACTTCCCCAACAGTTCTTACAGTCAATCAGTATCTGCAGACATGGCTTCTTTTCATGAACTTTTGTTCTCAAAACCATAACACAAGGTCACTACCTCCATTCCAGGAAATGCTGCTAAGAAATACTAGAAGATGGTCTTTTCCCTCAGACTCTTATTAGAAAAGTCATTTAAAAATGCCAAAATATGGTGCCATAGAGACAGGTGGATCCTGGGGCCTTGATGGCCAGCTACTCTAGCTGAAGTGATAAGTTCCTTGAGGAAGACATCCTGATGCCAATCTCTGGCCTGCAGAGATGCCAGCATGGACAAGAGCACTTGTGTGCACACACACGTATTGACACATGCGCGCGCGCGCGCGCGCGCACGCACACACACACACACACACACACACACACACACAATGCCAAAACACAAGATCACCAGTTGGGACTGCGGGGTCTGTGGGCTGTGTCCAAGTCCCTTGAGCTAGCCTCTCCAGCAATACTGTTCATGAAAATGAACTCTTCCGAGAAATGTCAGCTTTGATGGTCTGAAAATGGACCAGAGAGCTGAAGAGGCTTGTTAGCTAAAGGTCCTCGTGCATTTTGAGGATGGGACGAGAAAACACGAGAGCCTGTTTCCTCTGTGTCAGTCACTCGGTTGCATCTGTGACGGACACAGCCTAAGGTGGAGAGAGGTGGGCGGAGTGTGGCCCCCACACTGCGACTGATGACTGATGGCCACTGTCCTCACCGTGGCTCTCCCCAGTTGGCTGGCTCACAACTGAGGGAGAAGCTTCAAGATGGAGCCACTTCCTGTATGCTCCTCCCTCCCGAGCTTTCATCTCAGTATTTCACGAGGACTATCTCTGCAGTCTGTGCTCCTGAGCCGAGAGCGACACTTGGACTGACCGTGTCACCCGAGAAGGGTAACTCATGAAAAGCAGCTGATTCCCACCTTGTTTTACCACAGTATCGTTCCATGTTCTGATTTTCTTGTTAATTAAGGTTGGGGCTGGGGCATCTCAGTACAGAGGAGAGAAAACAGAAATACTTAGTCTCCCAAACTCAACCCCCCTTCTGTCTTTGTTATCTGATAACAATAAATAGCTTTGAGGAAGAATTCTCTGACATGAAGGAAAGCTAGAGACCAGTAATTAGGATTTTGATTTTCACACTCAAGGCCCCAGCTTGCATGCTCAGAAAGATATAACTCACAGCTGGCCCGGGAGATGAGAACATAGGTATCCCAGCCTGGGCTTTTGTGCCTTCTCCAGGTAGTGTTCCAAGGACAAACGGACACAGGTGAGAGGTCTCCTAACTTCCTTCTGATTTTTCCAGTGCCTTTTCCTCAGGACTGAAGAGCTACACATTCTACTTGAAGCATACTGAAATCAACCCCCAACCTGACATGTTGGCTCATACTCAACACGATTCATGGGCTCACCCTCCATACCTTCTGATGCGCAAAAGAACCATGAGAGATGAGCACCTCTCAATCCCTCCTTTGTGTTTGTGAGACAGAGTCATATGCTGCCCAGCCTGGCCTGAAATTCACTTTATATCAGAGGCTAACCTTGAACTCTTGGTCCTCTTGCCTGCCCCTCCCAAGTGTATGTACACTTGGTGTGCCCCATCATGCTTAACTCTGCCTCTTGATTATGAAAAGGGATCTCAAGGTTCCTAGAAGAAATGGGGTCACCTAGAACCTTCCCTAGTGAACAGAAGCAAGAATCCCCTTCCAGGAATGTATGGAGTATCCAACCCCCTCACTTACTTCTCCGTATGAAACACACACATGTTTAGGGCTAAAGACTTTCTTCTGTACCAGTTCGTTTCAAGAGTGGTTAAGGAGTCGACCACAGGAGAGACTTCACCATTGTCACCCAAAGCAGCACACTGCAAACAATGATATAGTGACTTACAGATGCACTTGGGTGACAACCGAGTCTCTTTGCCAGACTCTGAAATACCCTAACCTTTCTGGATTCTTAAGATTAAGATGTTTCCCCTGCCCAAACGCCAACTGTCGCCTCATTGGTGAGCTGTCTTACAGAGTGCTGATGAGCAGAATTATACCACACCTATTCATTTCCTTCGATCGGTAGCAACGTTTTCTTTTTCACAGAGGGCGAAAGAAGGAGCGTCCTTAGCTATTGACTAATTTGTACAAAATTACCAAGACCCAGACCAATATAATAGTGGTTTTATTTGCTGTTGACCCCAATACAATTCTGGGTATGTGGTGGAGGGGACTATAAGCCACAGTTAAATGCACAAGCAGATGGATCAATTTAGCTCCTGCACTCACTGGCTAAGCTCCAGCTTGCTCTTGAAGTTACTGTGGGGACTAATGAGGTGACAGTAGCCTCTTCTGGCGGCAATTGGGCTTTCTGCACTTTCAGTTACTCATTGTCAAAAAAAGTCCCCAAACACCAAATGGAAAATTCCAGAAATAAAGATTCCTAAGTTTCAAATAGCACTTATTACAGTACCTATTATTCTTGTTCTGCTCTAGAATTAATTACTGTTGGCACTCTCCCATTTGGCCTTATTTATCTGTGGAGCTTTACCCTAAGCTCAGGAGTACAGGAAGAAAGATAGGGCCGCAGACAACTCGACGCTACCCATGCATTGTGAGAGACCTAACATATCCCGTGGGCCAGGGGTGGGGACGCCATAGGGTACGAAAGGCTGTGGCCTGTGGCCCTGCTGATCACTTTTCACAAGTGCTCCTCCCTTCCTCCAGGAATGCAGCACCTCAGCCAACCACACGGTGGGCAAGATGTGACAGACACCTGCTCCCACCTGCCCGTCACTCTCCCTTCTGGGGACTGTGGCCCTCTGCAGGGAAACTTCCTCGGGGTTGGATTGGGGTCTCCTGCCCTTCATCATTTCTTCAGCTACAAACGTGGGGGTGTATCTGTATCTTCATTATCTCTCAAGCATGCTGATAGTATGGGATTCAAACTCCTTCCCTTGAGTCCACCCAGGGAGCTTTCTTCCGGGTGTAGATATCACAAAAACTTCTTCTAATGCTGATCCTGTAAGGTGTAAATTTTATGGACATGGTAGCCACTTTCCACTGGTATTTGGCAAGACTCCTTCAGAGAGGAAGGGCCTTTAGGTGTAGGTGTGTGTGTGTGTGTGTGTGTGTGTGTGTGTGTGTGTAAAATCAGTGTTTGACTGCATAGACTATCCCCTTTGCAACTGAAGCTGGTTCATCACTCTGTGTGAGGCTGCTGTCTCTGTGTTTGCTACAGGACCCTGAGGTTGGCTAGGCAGGAAGTCTGAGCTGGAATTCAAAGACTGGGATGAACATCGGTTTCTTTCCTGGAGTTTTAAGTGCACTGGAGGAGAGGATGGCATCCTTCATCATGGAGCTGAACACGTACCTGGTCCAGGAAGCAGGGAGGATACAGGAGGGCTCAGGAGCTACAGATGCCATGAGTAACCTACAGGGTGAGCAAACCGGAGCAACATCACCATCATGAGGCCACTACCATGCCTCATGCCCAGCCCTGGCCTCCCGAGCATGAGAAGAAACATAAGTTTACTTCCACTGCCAAATTTCATACAAAATATGTCTGTGGCCCAGACCAACTGGGACCTACACTGAGATGTGAATTCTGGGAAATGTAGTTCCTGCTTAACTGTGTGAACACTGTGAACCCTCATCACTGGCTTTATGAAGAGAACCTGTTGAAGATGAAAGGGCACGGCCACATCATCCAAGCTGTGGACCCCGCCAAATCTGTAGCTATAACTATCCCTGGAATGTCCAGTTAAGTGAGCCATTGAGTATATGCTGGCTTTAACCAGAGTTGTGTCTTTTCAAGTCGAGCAGCCTCACCAACATAGGGAGCTACTTTTACAGCCTACTGTCGTTTAGTTAAGGAGTGATTCCTGCAAAGGCCATCAGTTTGCTATGGCAACAGGAACAAAGTGAAAGGGACTGACTAGTTCAGAGCATTTTCAGTTTTGCTAAACATTGGCAAGAAGCTACAAAACGCTATGCTCAGCACACCGATAAAGTTTGTAATGAGCTCACAGTCAAATGGCAGGTATACGTTTTAGAGGAGTTGAGTCGACGCATCGACGCAGTGTGAAAGCCAGGCAGACACCCACATAAGACCTGCTGGCAGAGTGGCCCCTGAGTTGGGGCCCCTAGGCTTCAAATTTACATTCTCACTTCTGCAAGCCAAGCAACCTCATCCAGCCAGTGAACATCTGTTCAGTCCACCACTTGTAAGAGGGTCCAGCCTCCTCACCATAATCTCCAGAGGTTGAAAGGCAAATATAAATTAGTTCACAGAGAGAAAGGACACATTTTCTCAGTAACTGGAATCCTTGCAGCCCGCCCGGGCTCATCTTTTCCCAGGTCCAGCTCTGCCCATGGTAGAGGATGTGTGAAGAAGACTCGGAATGCTCTTTTGAAGAACGTGGAGTGGTCTGAAGGAGATGTTCACCCAGGTTTTTGTCCAGCCTGGCACAGAGGTCTCACATCCACACCAATTGGTCAAAACGCCAGTGAGCGCCAGCGAAACCTGATTTTCTTTTCTTAAATTATTTGTGGATCTCATCCTAGTCTCAACAACACACTGATGTTTATGAGTAGCTATTGAGTGTTTCCCAAATTACCTACTTGTCCCAGCTGGTGTCACCAGTGTGGGCATACAATACCACCATTTGGAACACGCGTTTGAAAATGAGTTCTGAGAACCCTTTGCTTCTCCCTGTTCCAGAAGCCCATTACATACTAGACACTGGGCTCTTCTTGTACATGGGACACAGGACACAGGCATAAGACACAAGCTTTGGTAATCCCCCTCATCATGTGTGTGTATGTGTGTGTGTGTGTGTGTGTGTGTGTGTGTGTGTGTGTGTGTGTGTACGTGTATGTACAAGTACACATGGAGGTCAGAGGAGTATGTTAGCTGTCTTCCTCTACTGCTCCCCACTTACTGTTGGAGATGAAGCCTTTCACTGTTCAAAGCGTGCCATTTCAGCGAAGCCAGCTAGGATGATCCTGTCTCTACACACCTTTGCTAGAGTCACAGGCACTGTGGTGGTGATGATGGGCTTTTGTGTGGGTGCTGGGGATCTGAACTCAGGACCTCTTGCTTCTATAGTTTTTACTCACTGAGTCATCTCCTCACCCCAGTGAAAGGGTTATTTGTTTTAAAGTTTACCTTGCTGTTTCAGACTCAGAAGTAATAAGTACAGCATGCGGAAGACGTAGGCGGCTATGTAAAAATATTTTTTTAACACTTGTATGGTCAGGTGGTGACTCTGTCAAAGCCTGAAGGTTCCTGTTGACCAGTTATAGGAAGGAGAGCATTCTGGGTAAGCGGAACAGATCTCAGCCCCACTCGGTGCCCTCTCTTGGCTCCTCATCCCGGATGCAAGCGCCATTTATTTGTCTCTCACGAGATGGCTTCAGTCACCGGCTACCCGAGCTCCTGCTTCTGAGCAACCAGTGTTCAGGTATGATGTGGCTCAAATAGCACAGCTCCCTCATTTAAAGCCACTATCGTCCCCCACCAAGCCAGGACGTAGCCCAGAAACGTCACAGCATCTATAAGGCCTCGCTCTCACCTCCTTCACCTCCCTCCCTCCATTCACTTGTCAGTGAGCCCCTGGGACTTCCCTGTGACCTTCATTCAACCCAGCAACACCCCCCTACCTCCTCCCACCCCC